TTTTTTGTATCGAAAAAATATCGAACCGTGAGACTAAAGTATCGAACCGAACCGAATCGTGAATTTTCTTTATTGTGAGGAGTACAAGTAAAAAGTTGTCTGAACAATAATTACTCAAGTAAAGTATAGATAACCAAAATGTCTACATAAGTACAGTAATAAAGTATTTTTACTTTGCTACTTTACAACTCAAATACACACATGAACAAATTGCCCATAAGGAAACTATAGCTCTAACAGCTGCCTTTTTGCATGCCTGTGTTCAAAGACATCTTAAACCAACAGGAGGGCTTTGATATAAAATGCTCAAAACAAGAATAATACTTTATGACCCAGCATTCTTCATTTTATGCATTTGCAGCTTGCAGCCTTAAAAAAAACCTATAAGTGTTCTGGGTTGTTGTGCAGTTAACCACCCTACACACTACCATTCAATGTGGAGAGGTAGCATGGTAAAACTTTACTATGACTGAAAACGTTGGGTGCAGTAAGACAGACTCGTCCATCTCTGGTTTTTCTCATTGTGTCAGTTTTATCACCTCTGAGGTCTGGTGTGCTAGCTGAAGGCAGCAGGGTGTGCACCATTCTAACCGCACAGCTACCTATATATCTACAGAGTGCATGTACCACTTGCAGCACAACCAGCTTATGAGCACTTCACAGAAAGCACCCATAAACCTCAAAATCAACCGACACGTTTTAGTCGGCTGAAATTCACAAGCAATGGAAACAGAGTAGGGTTCTATAAAACTTTCCTCTGTTGGGGTAGGGTAATGCTGTGGTTAGGGTGGTACCAACAGTGATCCCTGCTAAAGGTGACTCAAAGCCACTAAAGAAATGTACTGTGCAGACGATAAATAAACTATCTGGAAATTATACCTATTACTGCTCTCTGGTAAGGACTTGATTCATTCTATAATTAGGATACAGTGTATCAGAAGCTGTGCAATAAAAACTTACATAAAATGAAAAGTTGCAAGTCCCTATGGTGGTGGTCTTCATGCCCATATTCCCTCCTCATCATCCTGTGAATAAACAGAGAAAATAACATCATCCAGTAATCCTGACATTAAACAACAGTTAATAAATTAATATTGATAATATTTCTAAAAATCATTTTGTATCAACAAACTCTTATAGTCCTTCTGACCCCCTGTGATTTAATGAAAACAACCATGTTCATGCTTTCTTTCACAGAACATGATCTCGTGATATGCTTTTGTTTCAGGGTAGTTGCTATAAATCAGTATCTAAACACATAGAAGGCTTTCTTGGGACTGAAATTTTCCAGACAAGAACTCTGCTAACAAATAGCTAATTCACTTAGACACTAACAATACAACATGCAAGTGCTGGCAGCTCAGTAAAACCAAATTMTTGCCTGTTTAATGCTAAAATAGGCCTAGCCAAAGCAGAGCATGTGCTGGTGTGATACCAGAGCTAAAAATACACTCGATCTGGGCTCAAGTTTATAATGACTTTTGGTAACTGAACAGTTGTGACAAGTTAAAAAACTTAACAGGTTACATCTAAGCAGCTAAACTACAGGTATAATGGTCTCTCACTGGAATACACTGCTAAATGCCAACATGCAGCGAATAACAGGCCCAGTAAGCAAGGCGAACAGCGTATATTAAACCTAAAGCAGACAGCATGTTGAGAATCAGGCAAAAGAAAAAAAAAAGAAAAAAAAGAAAACCCAGAAGAAGTTTGTATAATTCAGTCTTAGATAAACCCTTTATGGCTGTTTTCTATTTCCTTCCGCTGTTGTTGCCAAGTATCTGGAGATGGGGCTGGCATGCTAAATGAGAAAAACATGAGCGCAACATGCCCGTCAAACTGAACACTCCATGTGGAGACACAGACCCAGAATGTGTCTCAAGAGGCTTCCTGTACATGTCTCCTCTAATTAGATTTCACCTGTCCTCTGACTAGGTTGATTGCAAATTAAGTAGAGGACAGGGAGTAAAGTTGGAGGATTGGGATGTGAGCACAAACTGTGACCACAAGCTTTGAATAACATGCGGTTTGGCTCCTTGGAAAACGATGTTCTTCAGTTTGCGGATCCACTTCGACAGTGCACGCATGTCCAGTTGTGTGTCAGAAAACCTCCTCCCTTGTGTGTGTGTACTGGCTACAATGCAAATACAAGAAACCTTGCATGTGTGGTCAATATTATGTTATTCATGGCATCGGCAGCATCTTGGAAAGACATTGTGGTTTCCAGGGTGAGCATCAAGACCCTCTTCATCATCATTATCATTATCATCATCAATCATCCTTGGAGTGACGTTTCTGGACCAGCAAGGCAGTGAAMCACTGGCATGGCCGGAGTTGTGTGTTACATTTTGAAAGGAAACGATGAATGGAAAAAAGGTCAAAAAGGAAAATAAATAAATAAAAATAAAAAAGGATAAGCTGAAAAGTGTRTGGAGGAAAAGAACTGGACACAAAATAAAGATGTTAAAATAATACAAAATATAAATAAATAAAAAGAAAGGTTCCAATAAAGGTTGCTAGCTGCACTAGGTATGCAGGTATTCAGTTTGCAAAAATTTATGACTTAATTTGTTATTCTGCACATTCTGTACATTCTTAACACAGTTCCCTAGCCTTTTATGTGAACATCCATCCAGCTTGAAAAGTTGAAATATAACGTGCAGAAAGGTTCTTCAACTGTCAAACTCTCTCAGCAGCAATAAAACTGTAAGTCATATTAAAGCAGCACTATTTGTAAAGTGACGCAGAGTAATGTTTTGGAGGAAAACAAGGTTTCTTCTTTACAGTTTAATTTACAAAGCTTACTGGTGTTTAACACAGAAAAAATATATAACATAGTGAATATGATAAATACTTACAAATACTGTATTTTGGCAGATTATTTATTTGTTGTAACAATGCTTCTTGACTTTAAATGTTATACCAGGCACCTGACTGGCAGCACCTGGGGCTAGAAGCTCAAAACAAGTCAGTAGCAACAGCAGTAAGTTGTTTGGCATTGACAGAGAAGATTTGGCTATTTTTTCATGTGCACAACCCAACATGCTCAGCTCTTTTACTCATCCCACAAATGCATGTTCCTTACAAATGTGGCAACGTTTAAAAGGGACATAAAAAGGCTTTCCAACAATATAAGATTTATTGCCAAGAGGCATTGTTACAACAAAGAAATAATCTACCAAACATGGGGAGACCTCTGCTACCATAAAATAGATCCTCATTTACAAACCTACTGACATGATTTCCATCTTTCATATCACTGTCATCAAGCAGCAGCATCAGCATTACTGTACATGTAGACTCATTATGTGTGTGAAAGGAATGCAGATGCTTACATACYCTGTTTTATTAGGCAATGTGTCGAGTATGTTTGACATTCCTCAGTGAAAAGGGGTGTCAGTCAATCACAGACCCTCACATTCTTCAGGGAATTAAAATTTGTCTTTCCACAGACATGAAAGGCTTAAATAATTCAAACCAACCACCCTATCCTTCTGCAGTTTTCAACAATATCTTCAAGCATRTGTATGTGTAGGGGACCAGTTATATTTGTGTTGTAGGACATGAACCCCCCCACACACACACACACGCACACACTCCTGGGGAATATTTTGTTATTTTGTTTCATTTTGTTTTGTAATGTAAATTACATTTTTCTGTGTTCATCTTGAACTGTATTAATATTTGTTGATAACTGTAGAGGTCTAGCAGAGGGGAAATTATGATCAGAATAAGGTCAATTTAAACAGGCACTGAGGACAGCCCAGGGTCTTGAGCAAGTGTACAAAACGTGTTCATTGTTCAGTAGATCGTCGCAGCCTACAGTGTGAAGCACGTCGGATTTATGTGCCTGTTTTCTGTATTTCCAGGTGAGCTAAAGCAGAGGAAAGTTATCAGGAGATTTGTTTACTGTTGTAACGTTAAGATGAATAGTTCAAGACGACCAGCGTCATGTTTATGTAAATGAGGAAACTTTTATGTTAATATCGAGAACGGGGCTGCAGTTAGCAAAACGTGTTCATTGTTCAGTAGATCGTCGCAGCCTGCAGTGTGAAGCACGTCAGATTTATGTGCCTGTTTTCTGTATTTCCAGATAAACGAAGAGTAAAGAAGTTTTTCTAAACTCATGCACGCRTCCATGTCTCATATTGTTCGGGTGTGCAACATATGCGTTTTAAAGTTATTGAACACAGGGGATCCCCAACTCATGTTTGAATCCAAATTAAACAGCAGTTTCAAAAATATTTATAAAACCAAGAAACATGCCGGGTTCATTACAGATTTTAAAAAAAGGAAGAATATGAAGCCAGGTGGAAATTCCCAAGTGTTCATCTTAAAGCCACACGCTGACTTAGACATGTTCACATTTTCATGATCTGAAATCCCCTCATTTACAACAATAGAGCCGTGATGAGTTTAAATTACATATAAATAGCAAGAAGCTTTTTATGAGCTGACAGAAAGACAGCAGCATTTTCTCTTTCACCCAAAAGTAGGTTCATCTGTGTACACAGTGTAAACAAACACTCAGGTGTGCATCTACAGCGTGCATTTACATCACACCTATAGACGAGCACATGCTGTGCAATTTGAAGCTCACGTAACACAAACAGTGTGCTTAAATCAACATCGTTTCGTTCTATTTTAGCTGTCTCCAAACACATTGAGCATGTCCTCGGGGTGGTGTGTGTACTTTGACAGAAATGCTTGTATAAGAGTTGGATCCCAAACTTATCTCACATTCAATTCCAATCAATCAAAAACAATCATTTGTCAAGTTTCCCCTTCAGGCTTCTTATCTAAATGATATGAAAGAAACCTCCAACTTGGCAGGAAGCATTGTGGTATGAGGGAGAAGGGACAAAGAAAGGAGACAAGAACTTTTATGCTGTCAAATAAGACCATAACTGAGTCCTGGCAGAGCAGCTACATAATAAGTTGCATCAGCTTTAAAGACATGAAGATAAAAGCCCACAACACATCAGCTTGTGTAAACAGGCCCAAAGTTTAACCACTGTCTCATAGCGAGAGTGTCTGTGTATGCACAATTTATTTATACTGACCTGCTCTATATGGGGTCTGTGGTTGGCATGAGAGGGCCCTCTTGGGAGACTCCGATGATGCACATTCGCCTGATGCATGTGGTGCAAATGATGAGGATGATGCTGGGGATGGACGTAATCCTCCTCATAATTATCTGCTATCAGCTTCATTCGGCTTTGAGTCTGCAAGAAGAAACAGGAGGAGGGGAGAGAGAGAGAGAGAGAGAGAGAGAGAGAGAGAGAGAGAGAGAATCATGAAACAAAATATTTTATTATGCATAGACAAACACCCACACACAGAGACAGCAGGTCATTAATTTTCCTAACACTGCTTATTTGTTTCATGAAAATGTACTCTGGGTCTTAGAATGATTAGGCTGAGGAATGTTTGGATGGAGGAAAAGTATGTTGAAAGCCATCAAAGATGATAAAAACTGAGCTGCTAACAACATTTGACAGGTCATAAATTGTGCGAGTCGGAGCGCCTGATGAAAATATCGTAAGTCTGTCAAGTATCATACATATTTTAGATTATGATTAAATTTGAAAAGGACAAATCCTCATAAGTACAGTTAGTTACWGTTTTGTGCAGCCTGAGGCCACAGGCGTTCTGGCTTGAATGAAGCACCTTTAGATGTCACTGATTAAAATTACACTTAAATATGCATGTTTCAGAAATGCCTTTGGATGGGTGCGGGTGTTCATTGTATGTATGTGCATCTGTGCACGTTTGAGAAAATAAAGAAGCCTGTCATCCGACCAAGTTCACTGCAGATAACAGTGCAGACTGACTAACATTAGCAATCAGCCTCGAATGTCAAAAAGATACAGAGAAAGAAAGACAGAAAAAGAGAAGGTGTAGATATATTGACAGACTCAGCTTTATTCTATTAACTGTAGATACTTCCCCTGAGGCCAGACATGATTGCGGAGTGAGAGGTGGAATTGTGTATGGGTTGTGGATGACTCCAAGGAAAGACATGTACACATTTCTCATCCAAACTTTTTTTTTATTTTTTATTTTTTTGCGGCTTCCCTAGTTTAATGGGACACAGGCATGGGAAGAAAAGTCAAATAGCTGGAGTCAGCTGTAAAGATAGCAGTGAGATGGTGTTACAGTGGTTAGCAGCCTAGGGACATCAGCGCTGAGATAAGAGGCTGGAGCTTAATGACTGAGGAAACAAGCCAGTCAGGATCACAGGGGAGGATGTGGCTGGTATTAAAAAGGTTAGCAATTAGTTTAAACTGGAGAAGAGCATCTCAAATAAGGTGAGAACACTGTCAAGTTAAAAAAAAAGACAAAAAGAAACAGTAAGGAATAGGGAAGGCGGGTGAGGGTTCAAACAAACACCAAACCAGTTGTTAGAATTGTTAAATGTCAGGTTGAAGTGTACAGCTTTTCACAACCTCAGGTTTTGACACTAGCAGGTGTGACGGGGTGGAGCTATAGGCTCAGTTTAACAGTTACAGAGTGGTCACCTGTCATTGAGGACAGAACAAAGACTATCATGAACCAAACAGCTGATTAAACTCCTGTACTGCATTAGAGCAGATATTTGACTTGAAAATAAAAACCATGCAACATAGTTGCAAAATAGCTGCTGATTTTATGTTCAAAACAATTGTATAGATAAAATTATACACTTCAAAAGAACCATGCTTGGGAGAATATAAATTTAAGTGTGTGTATGAGCGTGGGCATGAGAATATTAAAGATTTTACACACTAGAAAATTTTATTTCCTGCGAAAATGCAGCATGAACGCATATTGTTGAAAGATTTTTGCTGAAAGTTACTGAAGTCAAGTCAAGTTAAAGTAGCTAAAATTAGCAAAAAGGAGAAAACATCACAGAGAAAAAGATTAAATCAGCAGACAATGACAGGAGAGCAAAACAAACGTATGGTAAAACAAATCAAAAATGCCAATAAAGTTGTACTTTATTGTTAACTTGCTAAAACATCTAAAATTTGTAGCTGTAAAAGCAGAAACTAGAACAAAGTAGCTTTAAGAGCATGTTTGTTGAGTTAAGCARTAAAAAGCTAAAATTATCACAAAAGTGGCTTTAGGTAAAATAAAGCTATAATTATCAAAAAATGCTTAGAAAATTTAGCTTAAAGGTAGAAGACAGCTGGAATTACAAAACAGCTGAATGAAGCACACAAAAAGGAATAAATTAGCTGAAAGAAGCTACAAGAAATATAAAACAGCTGAAATTAGCAGAAAAAAAATAGTTGTAAGGAGCAGAATGATAGCTGAAAAAGCTGAAAAAAGCTAAAATTAGAAAAAAGCAGAATCAGAATAAAAGGTGAAAAGTGCAATAAAGATTAATAAGCATTTTGAAGGGTTGTACAATAAACATGCTAAAGGCAGCTCCATTCATTTTAATGAGAAAAGAAAATGGCAGAAAAAACTGAATATCTCAAAAAGCATATGTTGCTGAAATACTAAAGTCATAGCCGTATTGTCTTGAAGGAGCTGGTTATTTTGTTACATACATTGTTGAAAAAGCACAAAAACAGTAATGTATGAGTCTTTCTATGTGGTCAAACAGCCCACATTTGGCTTTATTTAATTCAAGCTCATTTACACACCAAAAGGAAAACATTGACCTTGTTATCCAAGGGATACATTATTTKATCCACATGTAAAGAAGGTGTTCAGATGTAAAATTGCCTGTGAGTTGGAATGTGTGAGTTTTAATTGGTGGTAATTAGAAGACTTGGAGAGTAAACAGCTTGCCGATGGCCTGCAGGTCTGCTTTTAGCACGCAGACAGAACAGACAGGTGGCACCACTTGCAGGGGGTGGAGGAAGGAATTTTTCTTTTGTCATTGACATCTTTAAGCAAAACAGACCATATATCTGGGCTGTATGTGTGTGTGTCTCTGCATGCGTATCTATGTGCAGCTGCTGATATAAACACTGCTGTACTCACAGCTGCATTTTCAACAAACGCTATGTAAATCACAAGCCTGCCCTGATTAGAGAGTGGCTACATTAACACATGGACACAGGAAGCTGACAAGAAAGATCTTAAACAAACAGGCAGCCGGGGCGAGGCCGTGCAAATTGCAAAACATTTAAACATGCTTTATAAATCAGGTCTCTGAGTCTATCCGTGTGTGTTCAGCATAACCACATCAACATAGTAAAACCAAAGTAGAGCTAACTCTGCCGTGCCCCTAAACTGCACACTGTGAGAGCAGGGATGCCCAATTGCGTCCAAGTGAAAGCAGATGAGGATAAAGAGAAACGGTTGCAGTGTAGACACACCTCTGAAATTTTTCAATTCATCTTTTCCTCAGCTTTAAAGCACYAGATATGTGTGGTCATCCATTACTTAGATGAACTACTTAAAGAATTCCCACATGGGGACACGTTTACTGAGTCTCTCCCCAAGAAGTTTAAACACTGTTCCTTACAAGTGTGTCTGTATGGCTACATGTGATTATCTGTGCTGAAACGAATGAAAGGGAAGTTTGTTTTAGAGACTGAGCTTTACATACACGCATCAACACACACAACACACATTTTAAAAAGAGGGATGTAGGGAGGTCAAAAAGACCATTACTATCTGTAAATCGATCTGGTGTCTCCATATCAACTTTCTCCTAAGAGACCCCGAGTCCTATAATTCTGTGGCATTTCCTGGTCAGTTTCCTTCCATCACAGATTTTGAGGACACAACAACCTTTCCTGAAATGTCAGTCAGTGAGCTGAAAGACAAAGTACATAACTTTGCCATTTTAACCAGCAACTCTGCAGATGCCTTGAGCCACCTCTCATTACTTTACATTTTGTTTCAAAGGAGGCAGACTTGTTGTAATGTTTCAAAGAGGTTCTTGTATGAAGTTTTCCAAGCTTTCTAAATCTCAAAAAGTTTTTTTTTTTTCTAAAGCGGGGGTATTGTGCAAAATTGACCTTTTTCTAGCTATACAGTATATCTTGTTATGATGTCATTCCCTCATCAAAAAGATGCTTGTTTGAGAAATCCTTGTATCTCCTGTGGTAGCCATTTGGAGCTATTTAAACCCTTGCTGGTACAAAGCACCGCCTATTTACATTAAAACTCCCCTCCCCCAAAGCACTGGTATGAAGACCTGCAGAAGTGGTATGTTGATAACGGTGGGAGGTTCTGAGACCGAGGCCAATGTTAAGGCATTTAGACAGACTATGATACAAAGTCAAATTTATTTTGATATTTACAGTATTTTCATAAAAACTGAAGGTTTTGTGATTACTTAATTATGGTATAGAACTGAACTATGTGTCTTGAAAATACACAGCCCCCCCAACACTGAATGATTTTTTTACGTTCATTCTTTTCTTCTTTTTTCTTTAAAAATGTTTTTTTYGTGCACAGGAAAGATGGTACAAAGAAAGTTTGTGTAAGTCCTCTCATTTTGTACTCTTGAGCAAAAGTGAACATTTTTCTCTTTTTTTTAAACTTCTGCCCCAAATTCAGAGCCCACATTACTGCAATTACAGCCACTTATTGCATAATCAGGTGGATTTAACCGCTAGTTACCCAGCGGGAAAACATGACGCACCAAATAGCGATAAACAAATAATAGGCCTTCCTTGAAATGCATTGAATGAATGTGCACCCCCAAGGAACTGCTTACCATTTATAAGATCCAAACATAGACTTAAACAGACAACCAGGCACCGCATCTGTTGACTTTTAAATGTACCATTTTTCCCAGAAGCTTCAATGACTCAGGAGACGGTACATGTGGATTCCCTGCTGTTAGTTCATTACTGTTAGCATTCACGTTTGATCAGTCACTTATGTGGTCTGACCAGAGCTTAATGACCCACATACCTTCCTCAGCCTCTGATCACTACGAGCCATGGCAGCATGGGAACTAGGAAGGTGTGGTTATGCATAGGTACATGCAAGTACAGGGATTTATGTCTTTTTGAGCAGAAAAGATCCAATAGAAATGTCTAGCAGTGACTTGTTATGACACCAGCTGCCACTTGAGAACATTCAATAGGTCTGATTACAACATAACTGTTAAGAGAATAGCTTCCGCCATGAGTCAGTGTGCTTGGATTTGGAATCAAATCTCGAGCTTTGGTACTCCGACTTWTGATTGAATGCAGCCAGTGTGGTTTGAGGCAGGGAAGTAGATTTTGTTAACTTTCATAACTTATTAACCTCTATCTGTTYCTGGCTTTAAAGTTCAACAGTCTTACTATGAAGCTACTGTAAAGCAAGCATTGCCACAGCATGTGCAGCCGGTTTTAATTTGTAACCCGGCTTTGATTCATAAAGCCACAGCTGGTCCTAAAGTATGACCAAAACACCAGGTCATGCGCAGACCTGTCAGATTTTAGGACTATGAGTGCTGTGAATTTTATTTATTCTTTATAAGCACTTATAAATACCCCCAGTGGGTGCGTGTGGTGTGTGTACCTGCTGTTTGAGCTGGTGCATGAGTCTGTCCTTTTCCCTCTTCAGTGCCATCACTTCCTCCTGGGCTTTCTTGCGCTTAGATGATGATAACTCCAGCAAGGCAATGTTAGCGTCCTTCTCACTGATGGCTGCCAGCAAAGCCTGTTGCCTGTGGCAGTGGGATAAAGCCAAGAAATGCATTACTGATTTATGGAAAAAAAAGCGTAAAAAGGCCTGTGTGCTTAAAATATAATACTCTTATATTTCACAAACACGTGAGCAGCAACATAACAACCTCACTGCATCATTGCATAAGTGCTGTGAATCTTGTCAAATTTTGAAAAATGTCAAGGCAGGCTCGTTTATCACCAAACTTCTTAAACTCAGACAGAGATTCCTCAGAAATGAAGCAGAYGTCTTTGAAGTGGTCTGCTAAGTGCTATATTAGTGAAACTACATTGTGACTCACAGGCATGTAATAGCATAATAGACTATGTAGGATAAGGAGGATATGACATCTTTCATCTGTCATTACCAGAGTCTGAGTGTGTGTGTGTGTGTCTGTGTGTGTGTGTGTAAAGGGGGTGGCAGCCGTTGACTGTCTACAGGTGTAGATGAAACCCTACTGAGACTTACCATAAACACACAAACAGATGTACAAATATACCCCAACAGGACTGGAGAACATGCCTTGTGAAACACTGTTAAGAATGTCTGTGTCTTTGAAGCAGATCTCTAGTTACTCTCCCCATCATCAAGCAGGATGTCGTAAATTCAGAGCTGCRACAAACACATTGTCTACTCACGCTCGTAAACACACTCAGAATCAGAAACATTCTCAAAGATAGTCAGCCACACACACCTCTACTACTTGATCACCGGCTGGGAAAATGCATGATTAAAGAAATCGTGCGGCCAATGAAAAATAAAAATAATGGAATTAATGTGACATTCTAGCTCATTTTACGTACTATTCCTTGACTTTACAGTCTGACTGTTCAGTAAAGCTCACATGAACAACCACTGCAAGAGGCTCTGAAAGTGTTTTAAGTTAGATAAACATAACAGTTTAACTCTAGGCTCTTAAATTGCATTTAACAAGCACTAAACCAGCATAGCAAGGTAATATAATGTGTGGGTTTTTGTGAGGTCAATAGCAGCACAATGAGAAGTGAGGGTGCATTTAAAATACAATTTGTTCTCTATTAAAACATTGACCTGCATTGAGGTGTTTCCATTCTATGATTCAGGTACCTCCAAAAATAACTAAATTGCAAAAATAAACATGTTGAGCTCAAGAATAAAGTTGTTCTAGCCCCGGACTCCACCTTTTTTGTGTGTTTTCAGTGCAATTATCTGCATGCCGCATCTGGATTCTCCTATTCAAGGCCATTAATAGGCCTCTGTGTGACTGTGTGCGCTTGCATGTAGTGCAAGTATTTGTGTGTGCATGCATGTGGGTTCTGACAAGGATTGTAGCATCTAATAATACCATTAATCACAAAGTAGGACCAATGTGAAAGCTTACGTCTCCCTACACCTCCACTGTTATTCCTTTTAATGCTCACTGTAATTGGAACACACATACTGACCTACATTGAACCTGCATTAGGACAAGTGCTTTAGGCTGTAGGATTATTCTGCTTGACCTAACTATTCATGCTGTAACTGTTCTATATGTTTARGAATCTCATTAAGAACTCAAGTGTACTAATCATGCATTTTACATTTTATAATATGGCACAACATCAATCCAAATTCTATTCCCTTGTCTTCAACTGTGGTAAATAAAATGAAGAGCTGATGCACAGAGTCATATATGGGCAAGGAATGCGGCACAATGTGTCACAGCTCATAAACAGTCCATCAGATTTACAGCCTCAACATATTTGCAGGATGGCCATCTTTACAACAGACTGCTGAATCATGTCCAAGTAARCAAACCGCTACACGTCTTGTCTTTTTTAAGATGAACACTTCTTTTTACCGTCTCCGCTTGAGAATTTTGTTTCTAGGGTCAAAATACTGCTTTAAATTCCACSAAGAATATCTGCGCCGTTTTTCTATTTTACTGCATAAACGAGCCTTCATTAGGTCTGAGGAGATCTTTAAAGTACAGTCTGAGGAGGTAATGCATGATTGATGATGAAGTTAAAAGATTAGAAGAGCACCTGTGGGAAGGTTTATCTTATCCGTGAAAATAACAGTAAGTCTATCAGAATACTAAAACTTGACCTCGTAAAAAGTTGCTCTACAAAGTAGATYATCACTGGACATTGGTTTATGTTCATTTATGCCACTTTTAGTTTTAGATTACAGGTATTTGCACTTCTGACTTCTAACGTTTTCCTAAAAAGTTAATATGTTATCCTTTGGCATATGAATGTGAGGACAGAATTTTTAAGGCACWTCTATGTGAATTTTTTTTCACATTGTAAAGCGCTTAAATTGGAGTAAATTGGGTGTGGGTCTGAGTCATAAGTGATGGGCGTATCTGGAAGCTGGGCACTTTTTATGAAATTTTGGAAACAAGCCCTTTATTGCACTTTTCTTATTTATGGGCCAAATATTGTTGCTGCCCATGTTTTCTACTAGATAGTTTTCCCCTCTGTCTCTTTGCCAACCTGGTTTGGCCTGAAACTATAAAACAATGAGCCAACCCCATTTCAGCTGCCCCATTGCTTTATATGTGTGGATAAGTTTTATTAGGTAGTTTTATTTTATTTTCCGTTTCGTACTTACAGTAACACCTTTAAAATGCTGCTTGTTGGGTGTTTTGAGATTGTTTTGATAAAGACTACAAGCTGAAATGTGATATAATTCTCATTCTAAAGTTGTTCTTTAGATTACAAGCGAGTTTGGTCTTTGGTCTTTCTTATTTTCTTTCTCTACAAGTTGTWCAATGCCAAGCCATTGACTTTGAAGAATTTGATTTAAAGAGGTATACTCAAAGGTTTGCTATGTCTTGACAATTGAATGACCATAAAACTTCACTGGGAGGGTGTCTCCTCTAAGCTCACCTGTACCTCAAAACAGATACACACTTCCTAAAATAAAATATTGATTGACGCTGAGACACTTTGAATCTATCCAAAAGAAAAAGAACTGTTATAAAGTGTCTGCCATACTTCAGTGCAAGGTAAATTGCTTCCAGCCTCTCAATTAACACACATTTCAGAACTGTCTCCCAGTGGGTGCTTACTGAGTGGTGCTGTGGGATTCTGCTGAGCGATGTCTTCCGAAAACAATAAAAAGGGGGCATTATTATGATTAGCCCTCTAGTAAAGTTTTGCTCCCACATCCTCACCCAGTGATTATGTGCATAGTGTGTGTGTGTGTGTGTGTGTGTGTGTGTGCGTGCTTGCTGATTAGTATTACAAACAGTCTTTGAACCTGAATCACACTGAAGCATTTAAATCACATTTAATTTGAGTAGCAGTTCAGCCTTAGATGTAGAACACACTCACAGACTACATTTATCTGGCTGGCAGGATTCATCCGTCAGACACACACACACACACACACACACACACACACACACACAC